AAAAGCTTCAATCTCTCTGTCGTTCTGTTGAACCCATACTAGTATTCCGTTTGTGAGGTTTGTCGGTGTGTCTTCAACTTCCGTTGCCGTTGTCTCTAAGATTGTCCATGGGTTGCTGTTATTTGAGTAAGCTTCTTTCCTCTTTCTTCTTTTAAGTTTATTCTGTTAATTTAATTAAACAAATGTAATGTGCTTTAGCCTTTCTATGCAAGACAATGAGAATTCTAAGGTAGCACAGCAAAGTATAATAGGAATTGACTTTTCCTTTTCACATTAAGATTAAAGAAAAAATTTGCTGCTATTTTGCTCTGCCTTTAAATTCGAAGAATGAAACACATTGAAGCCTTTTATGTTTATTTTTATATTTTACATGTTGCTTCTCTCTTCATTCTTAAATAGACATTTACCTTACTTGGTCGGCGTCATATCTATTGTTCTATTCATTTCATGGCTTATGTTCCCATCAAAGTTACATTATTATTAATTACTATCTTCGGTCCTATTTGTAAGAGCCAGTTGACTAATTTGAGGAGATTAAAGAAAAAAGTTAAGCTAGTTATTTGTAATAAATATATATTGTATTTTCTAAAATATCCTTACTAATCAAGTGTATTGGCTAGAACTATTATTGTTAGAAGCACTATCTTGGAAAAAAATGCATAAATATGAGAGACAAAGTGGATTGAGTTCTTATATTTAGGACCAAAATAAAAGTCAAACAAAGTTTTATATTAAAGACCGGAGGTAGTATATGTTAAGGAGGAAGAACTTGTGATATAGTTTGACTCAATAGTTACAAGTGTAATCACATTGGATGGTTGTTATTTCTTGTGATATAGTTAAGTTAATTATGCTGGTATTTGATTGTCGTTATTAATCTTCTATAAACAATTTTGTGTTTTGGTGGTAATTAACGTAAATTTGTAAAATATTAATAAAAAACTTTAGGTGGTACTTATATGGAAATTAAAAAAAAAAAAAAACAAAGCATTAGTTACCACTTGTACTGCACAAGAGCCACCTGATGCTTTAATTATTTAAAAAAAAAACAATAAAACCGTAGGTGGCGTTTTTGTGACTCAAGTGCTGCCAGAAGCTTTAATTAATAAAATTAACAAAAAACTCAAGGTGACACTTTTAAGGTTTAGGCGCTACCTAGAGTTACAATAAGCGGCAGCGCTTATAATTCCAAATGCTACCGTTATGCCTATTTTTGGGTGGGTGGGTGGGGGGGGGGGTATTTTTTTGGTCGCGCTTCTGAAACGCTACCTAGAGTGTATTTGGATGAAATCAAATCATGGTTTGGAGAATAGCTTCTGGAAAATAGATTTTGAAAAAAATAGATTTGTGGAGAATATATTTTGTGAAAAAGTGATTCTGATAAATGAGAGTGTTTGGATAGTTGTTATCAGAAGAACTTTTTATATGTACAAATTTTACTAAAAAATGTATAAGTTAATATGATAATTACATAAAAGATAGATTTTATAATATATTTTAATTTGAAAAAATAAAATTGTTAATAATATATTTTTTTACCAACATAATTAATAATATATAAAATAATATAATTAATATGTATATATATTTATAAAATATAAAATTAAATATGTTTATAAAAAAATAATTGAGGAATGTTAAAATCATATTATCGTTGAGATTTACTCTACAGGTACAATCATACTCTCCCATTTGAGCCAGAAGCAGAATGAATTTACTTCTTCTGAAACCATGGTTTTGAGCTCCAAACCATGGTTTTGATCCAAAACCATGGTTTCTGTTTTTTCTTGGATTTTGATCCAAAATCATGGTTTTCTATGTTATCCAAACAGACCCCTAATCATCAGGTAGCACTGGTAGCGCTCAACTTTTATGTAGTAGTGAAGGGTAGGTTTGCAAGTCCCATTCCTACCCCTCAAAGTAGGTTTTCCTTTGAATGAAAGAGATAAGTCGTTTTCATGGTATCTTGTTTTTCTAAATCTTTTTCATGTCTTGTGCTGATGATAAAATAATTCAGTATCTCTATCAAATGAGCAATCGCAAGTTTGATCCCAAAGTGCTAGTGCCTACTTCTCTAATTAAGAAAAAAAATAGAAGCAGCTCATAAAATTTGTTTTAGGTATCTTTTGGGTTAAATTGAGGATAAGTATAGAACTTGAACACGAACCATGCAGATCTGTATGTATATATGTACTGCCCCCTGTCGTTGATAAGAACTAGTTTGATTTTTATTTTGATTCTAAATATAAGACTCAAATATACTTTATCTCTCTTTTTTTTAAAAAAAAAAGTCATTGTAATAAGGGTAATTTTAACTAATACACTTGATTAGTAAGGATATTTTAGAAAAAAAAAACAATACATATTTATTACAACTAATTAATTTAATTAATTTTCTTAAACTACTTAAATTAGTCACACAGCTCTTATATTAAGAACTAGAAGTAGTATAATATTTCGAAACTGCCCCTCATTCATCAACGTGATTTTGGCTTCCCCATTGCAATTGGCAATGGGCTACTATTTGTGTTTGGCTGATTATTAATTGATTTTTTTTTTCTTTAAATGATTATTAATTGATGTTGCCGCAATGCTTGGGTTCATCATGTTCTAGTCTATCTTCTTTTACAAAAGGCGATTCACTGGCTTTGCCTCATAAAGGCTCGTGTATATCTGGGTGATGAAAGAATATAATACCCGTATTGTAAGTTCATGGAGTCTAATACTTTCTTTTGATTCAGGCCTTTATGGAGGCATATCAAGAGTACTAATAAGCATGAGGAATGACGGAGGTTTGGTGCTAAAAACCTTTGATCGCGTATTAAAAGAAAGCGCAAGATAAGGCAATTTATATGTATTCTTTTCTTTCATAGTTAGTTAACTTCAAGGGGTAGGTTTGCAAGTCCCATTCCTACCCCTCAAAGCAGGTTTTCCTTTGAATGAAAGAGATAAGTCGTTTTCATGATATCTTTTTTTTTTTTTAACGGGGGGAATAACATCACAATTGAAAGTCGATAATTCCCTTTTTTTAATTCTTTTCACACTTTATGGTCCCTTTCGTTTGTTAGGCATACGTTGTCGATCTTCTTGTACAACAAGATTATTATCGACTTGTTTATTATTATAAAATGTATGGCTGGTATCCGTTTGGAAGCAACTAGCAACTGAACCAAAATGCACTCGTCTTTGTTCAATGATCATTTCGTATTTGGTGGGTATATACAGGTAGGATGGCTGTTTAATCAACTATGACCCCAAATTGAATCTCTTAATTAAACTATATAACTGCTAATTTTACGGCACAATTAGCCTCCAAAGTAGTCAGCTTTGATGTTCTATTGATATTTTCTCATGCATGCATGTGCTCAGTATTGCGAGTTTTTCCACTGGTCAACTTTAAAATGTCCAACTCAGCTCCTCACCAACCTCTAATGTTATCTGAAGCTTCAAGTGCTTCCAATAATCGCAATGGTAATGTCCATGAGTCATCCGAATATTTTGAACCCTCATTCTTTTCTTTTGTTTTTTTTTCTTTTTTAAATTTAAAGAGGTACTAATAATCTGATATTACAAACGGATTGAACTCACGACCTTCCACTTACAAGAAAGAATCAATGCTATTAAACTATGAAAGTTTTACTGCTCATTACTTTGATGAGCACTCTAAATTCATCAGATCTGGACCATCTATGTCTGATCTGAACGATTCAAATTTAAAAATTTTAATTAATTGTTTTTAAATAGAAAAAATTATATTTTGAAAGAATGATAATTAAGAGATTATTTCTATTTTGGATTCTACGCCTGTTAAAATAATTATTTTAAATAAATAAAAAAATTAAATCTGGACCATTTAAATCAGATATGAACGGTCCAGATCTGATGAGTTTAAAGTGCTCATCACTTGATTCCATTGAACTATAAGACCTTTGGCTCAAGGCCCCTCATTCCGACCGTGCAATAATTTTGCTAGCAAGGAGACAATAACAATAGAATTAATCATATGCTGCTTTAATTTCTGCTTTCTTTGACAAAATTGGATAACGATCATACACGAGGTAAGAATCTAGAACCAGTAATTTCTCATACAAACGACACCTACCAAACAAGTCATTATATTGCTACAGCATTCAATAATATCATAGTAGTTTAAATGAAAGTCAATTTATTCAAAAAAGGTTAATCAGACGAATTGGTTTTATCGATAGAATATTAATGAAGAGTCAGGTAATAAAGTAATTAGTCAATGAGTTATTAAATTTTTAAAATTGACACTTACTTTTTTAGCAACCTAAACGCGATATATTCTTATAAAGTGAAAGGACAAACATTCAATGAATGACAACTCTGGCGCTTTCACAAGTTGACATTCTTGAGCTTCCCACGCTGAGAAGCCCGGAATTTTTGACTATTTTATTACTGAGGATTACGAATTACCCCACCACTCTGACGGAGAGAAAGAAAGAAAAGACGAACCCTACCAACCCCCCACCAATAAAATTTAATCTCTTCTGACTAAATCATCATCACTAGTACTCCTTCTATCTTTAATATAAGACTTAATTCTTGAGTTGGTTTTGGTTCTAAATATAAGACTCATTTCTCATATTTATTAATTTTCTCTAAATTATCTCTATGGATACCCCTCAACCATAGTCAAGTAGAAGAGGAAGATGAGGTATTAAGAAAGATGATTATGGTGTTTTAGGAAAAATGTGTCATTTTTCTTATAATTAACTAACTTACCTAACTTTTTTAATCTAATCAAATTAGTTAAATGGATCTTATATTAAGAATCGGAGGAGTATTATTTTTTTTTACTTTCCCATCGTTGGACCTGGAGCACATCAACGTTGTCTTTAAGCCTTGACATGTGAGAAATATTATTTTACTATATAATGGGAATGTAGCTTGCAGAGTTGTTAAAAAAGCAAGTGCTATCCCCAGGACTTGTTTTAGAATCAGAAATCAATCCGTTTTTTGTGTGTATAATCCTTCTCTTCTTTCGTTGCTGCATCAATAAATGTTGGATCTCCGTGAATTCGTTTCCGGTGTTGCAGAAATGTCTTACTATTTCCCTCCGGAAGTCCTGGAGGAAATTCTTCACAGATTGCCTCTCAAGTCTCTTGTGAACTGCATCTCTGTCTGCAAATCCTGGAAGTCTCTGATCTCAGATCACTCCTTCATATGTGAACACTTCAACCGTACGATTCAATCCAACCCAGATATTGCCTCCATCTTCCTCTTCATCTCTCTAAAGAAACGAGTAGAGGGATACAAGTACAACGAATCCGAAGATTTTTACGCTGTTTGTTCTGGTAATCAGATAAGGGATGAACCCTTTGTTTTGAAATCCTCTCTCATTCCTCTGTTTACGAGTGAGCACAAGGAGGTGGTTGGAACTTGCAATGGACTGGTATGTCTCGCTGATTATTCTGTATTAGATACTGCGGATCTTATTATTTGGAATCCATGTATTCAGAAATATTTGGAGCTTCCCAAACCCAGTGTAAGCTTCAGATCCTGCGACCCTGACCATGAAAGGAACAGGGTTTTCTTTGGATTTGGTTTTGATTCAGAGGCTAAGGATTTGAAGGTGGTAAGACTTGTTGCGAGAATCAACAATGTGGAAGAAGCTCCTCAGGTTGAGGTTTACTCTCTTGCAACTGGGTCATGGAGGAACATCACTGGTAAAGCTCCCCCAATTCTGCTGTGCATGCAAGTATTGTGGAAGAATCAGATGTTTATAAATGGTGTAATTCATTGGATTGTCAGCCAGAGAAGAAATGGTAGGATTCACAATTTCATTTTAACATTTGACCTGGTTGAAGAAAAATTTGGAGAATTGACGTTACCACAACCTCTGAGAGAGTCTCCTTTCCAATTGTCAATTTTAGCAGCAGAGGATTCACTTGCTGTGGTTCATACTTATTGTTCAGAGTTGGATGAAGAATTTATTAGTATTTGGGAGATGAAAGAATATGGTTCTGCGGATTCATGGGCTGAAGTGTTTCATTCCAATTCAAGACGTTATGGGGGCATATCAAATGTTTTAGCCATTAGAAATAGTGGAGAATTGGTGCTGAGAATTTATGGAGGAATGATGATTCTGCTAGATCCTGCAAAAGCATCAGCGAAGGATCTGGGACCAAGGGATTTTGTCTACGCTTTTGCTGGACATCATGTGGAGAGTCTGTTTTTAATCAACGAAGAACAGGGTGCTTTGTCTTATTGATCATAGTGCAGAAAGAAACAGAAGACGCAAGATTTTTAGGTTTGAATATGAATGGTTGAAGAAGACATTTCCTCCTCACTGAAGTATCTTAAAATTCGTTGTTCTGCACATTGCTACATTGTTCGCTAACAGATGTGGTATTGTTATCTGTTTGTATTTGTAATAAGTTACAGAATACCAAATTGCTTTTGCGAATTCAATTCCCACCAGGAACTGTTTGATTGGCACAGTTATTTAATGTAAATTTTCAGTTGAAGCCTTTACTTTTCCATGTATTTGTGTTGCGCATGTAATTTTGTCGTGTTTATGTTAAAGTATTCTGTGATAATGAGTCCTGAGATTGTCAGAAAGTTATATGTCAACATGAACAAAGTGCCCCATGCTAAATATATTATTTTTTCAGTCTTTAATATAACACCTATTTAATTACTACTTTCGATCTTATTTACAAGACTTTGTTGATAGACTATAATCTAGGCCAATAAAGTCTTTTAATCAAGACTGAAGGTAGTACTCTTTAATGATTTTTTTCAAACCCAATTTTAATTTTTACCTTTCATTTTGATTGGGAAACTATGAGAATCCAAAATTCTTTTAACTTGAGGCATATCAGAAGGAATTATATACGCATCTTAATTAATCCATTGCCAGTTGGGATAATTCATATTTAATTCATATGTTGGATTTAAAATATTTGTAATGGAATTTTTACAAAAGAGAACATTCAACAAATATTAGGTGGGATTTTTTAATTAATCATTTATTTAAGAATTCAGTTGTGAACAGAGCACAATAACATCTTACCTAATAACAAGAGGCTATACGGTGTTGTTAAGTCAAAGAGGTAGTCTGAAAAATTTATTCTAGATTGATAAATTTGATAATTGAATAAAATAAACATGTAAGGTGATATTCAAATTCGATATTTCATATTAATATAATTTGTTTGACTTGAGCTGATAATTAATCAAGACTCTACTTGGCTACTTGTTTAGCTACTTCTGTTAAGGACCGTCAACATATAATCCCAAATAAATTTAAATTAATAAAATAAAAATGTTATGGGTAATTTTTAAATAAAATCCATATCTCTATGTAGGAATATAAATATGATGGAATTATTAGATTCTTTTCGCCCTAGCATTATTATTATTATTATAATATATATGATAATAGATCGATTACTATTATACTACATATATTAACAAATAATCCTCCATCTTCCAATTCTAATTCTCTAAGACGATAAGATTTAATAAATCCATAATATTTCTTTCCACACACACAAAAAAAAAAAAGACTCATACTATTTCTCGATAAAAATATGATTATTGATATATTCGAAACAACCTAATATAATTTTTTTTTCTCTGGGGTGAATTCTTTAAATTTAAATATTTAGATATTTAGTTTAAAATTTAAAAAATGTACGAAGAAGTTATGATAGGCGGCGTATAAGTAGCCGAGACCATCGAAGCAGAGGCGCGACAAGGTTCCTTGCTGGCTTGCTGCCTCTGAACACTTACTCTAAACTCCTCTCCCTTTGACTTCCCTGACGAAGAAAAAAACCAATGGCAATTGGTGGCCCTACGTTCTCATCCGACGACATCGTAAATAAGTCTCCTAATGATAAGCGTTTGTACAGAATTGTGGAGCTCGAAAACGGGCTTCGTGCTTTGCTAGTTCATGATCCTGAGATTTACCCCGACGGCCCTCGCAGAGCCGTCCGAAAAGGTAAAAAGGCTGCTTGGCAGACTAAAAAGGCGGCGGCGGCAATGTGTGTGGGAATAGGTAGCTTCTCTGATCCATTAGAGGCTCAGGGACTAGCACATCTTTTAGAACACATGCTCTTCATGGGGAGTGATGAATTTCCAGATGAAAATGAGTATAATAGTTATTTGCAACTTGCATGGTGGCTCACCTAATGCACACACAGAAACTGAGCACACCTGTTATCACTTTGAAGTGAAGCCTGAGTTTCTCAACGGTGCGGTGCCTTGAAAAGATTTTCTCAGTTCTTTATTTCACCTTTACTAAAAATGGAGGCTATGGATCGAGAAGTACTTACGATAGATTCAGAATTCAACCGGGTTGTACAAAGTGATGTTTACCGACTTCAACAAGTTCGATGCCACACTAGTGTACCTGATCACATTTTTAACGGTTCTTTCCGGGGAATAACAAGAGTCTGGTTGATGCAATGGAAAATTGTATCAATTTGCGGGAACAAATATTGACATTATACACGGATTATTACCACGGTGGACTAATGAAACTTGTTGTTATTGGTGGAGAGTCTTTGAATGTTCTTGACAGCTGGGTTGTGGAATTGTTTGGTGCTGTCAAAAAAAAGTCACCAAGCAAAGCCAGAATATAGGATAGAAGGTCCTATTTGGAAAGCTGGTAAAGTACACTGGTTAGAAGCCGTTGAAGATGTTCACATCCTTGACTTGTCATGGACATTACCATGTCTACGCCAAGAGTATCTGAAGAAACCAGAAGAATATTTTGCTGATCTCCTTGGGCATGAGGGTAAAGGAAGCTTGCTTTCCTTTTTCAAGTCTAGAGGATGGGTTACTTATCTGAGTGCTGGTATTGACGGTAAAGGAATGCACCGCTCATCCATAACTTATATTTTTGTCATGACCATACATCTCACAGACTCTGGTATGGAGAAGATTTTTGATATAATTGGTCTTGTCTATGTAGCCCACAATTAACGTACCGCGTTTTTGGGTTTTGTTTCTGCGTTCAGTCATCTGAGCACAACCCAATTTATTTGCAAGAGAGAATTGATAACTTCATAGATGGCCTGGAACAATTGTTGGAAGGGCTTGATGGTGATTCCTTTGAGAATTACCGAAGTGGGTTAATGGCAAAGCTGCTGGAAAAAGATCCCTCACTCATGGATGAACTTTGTAATAAGATTGTTGATAAAAGGAAGGAAGCACAAGAACTAAGAAGCATAAACCAGAAAGAAGTGGTTGAGTGGTACAAGAAGTATTTTAAGCAGTCATCGCCCAATTGTCGGAGACTTGTTACTCGTGTATGGGGTTGCAACACAGACATGAAAGATGCTGAAACAATATCCAAAACTGTACAGGTCATTGCAGACCCAGAAGCCTTTAAGATATCTTCCAAGTTCTATCCTAGTTAGTGTCTATTGTTGTTGTTGTTATCTTTTTGGGCCAACGTCGTGCCTCTCAACTTAAAACCTGAAAATTCCTTGTACATTGGTATAGCCTTATGATAACTTTTCTGTTAAAAAAATATATGATGGACTTCAATATGTTAGCGAGTGACCTGGAGAATCGCATTAACCTCTGCCGGACTTGGATTCTCTCCACTTCCTTCCCATCTTCTTCCCCTCCACTACCCTTCTTTTCTCTTCACAACCATTGGATTAAAATTCCAATGGTCCAGATTTAACATCTTATAAAAATAATATTATTAAAAAAATAAATAAATAAATTTAAACTGTTAAAATCTGGTTTGAACAGTTTACAATTGTAATAAAAAAAATTAAAAAAAAATTTGCTCTATAATAACAGTCTGTAGTTATGAACTGTTCAGATTAGATTTTAACAGTTTAAATGTATTTATCTATTTTTTATCATAATATTTATCTTTATAAAATGTTATAAAATATTAAATCTGGACCATTGAAGTTTTGATCCAATGGTTGTGAAGAGAAAAAGATGATAGTGGAGGGGAAGAGGATGGGAAGGGTAGTAGAGATAATCTGATTCCAACCTCTGCCATATATTAGTACTTCGTGCAAATGCTTAATGCTTTTTGGGACATGTTTGTTTGACTTACCCTAGACTTGTTTGGGATAGCGTTCAAAAACATTTATAAACACATTTCACGTAAGTCAAGATAAAATTTCTCACATAGTTATCTCATCTTTCATAAATCCTGACTGAAAAACTATTTATAAGTTATTCCAAACAGGTCGTCTAATTGTGTCCTACTACATGGAATCACATTTTAATCTCACTACATCCATTGGGAAATCCAAAATTCTGTTCATAGGAGTTGGAATATTTGTTGTCTTTATACTCCTCCGGTCCTAATATAGGACCCAATTGTTGAGTTGGTTTTGGTCCTAAATATAAGACTCATTTCTCATATTTATCAATTTTCTCTAAATTACCCCTATGGATACTCCCTCAACCATAATCAAATAGAAGAGGGAGATGGGGTATTAAGAAAGATGATTATGATGTTTTAGAAAAAATGTGTCACTTTTCTTATAATTAACTAATTTACCTAACTTCCTTAATTTAATCAAATTAGTTAAATGGGTCTTATATTAAGGACCGGAGGAGTATTTTTTTTGTTAAGGAATCAAAATAAAGAAACGGAACTTTTTAATTGTTAAGTGAAAAATAGTCAAAAGATTAAATTCTAGATCGATAAATTTGGCAATTGAATAAAATAAATGTGAGGGGATATTCAAATCCCACGCGGATATGGCTGTTCTCTTTTAGTGATTTGCTGGTTAACAGGGAGAAAAAACGTAATCACTGGTAATTATACATAATGTTGTTGGCTTTTCCCCCTGTAATGAAGTAATTCAGTTACAAAAAATAGATGGGTCGTTTTTTATCAATTAATATTGCTGCGGAAAAAGGACAGGCATATATTATACACGCACGTCATAATTTATTAACTGATATTTATTATTTCATATCAATATAATTTATTTGCTCTGAAGCTCAATTATTTGAGCTGATATTCATGGCTCCTACTTGTCTGGATAATTCCGCTAATAGTAACTCTCAAATGGTTATTTCAAAATAAAAGTACACTTTAAGTTTTTAAAATAAAAATTTATGGGTAATTTTTAAATGAAAAAAATCCATATATCAAATATATATATTAATAAACAGAAAATCATCTCCCCCCTTCTAATTCTCTAAGACGATTGAATGAGATAATATTTAATAAATTCATACTATTTCTCCATAAAATGTGATTCTCGATCCCAGGATTGATATTCAAAGCAAGCTTATTTATTTATTTAAAAATTCAACCACATCTCTGGGTCAGTCCTGTCTCCTGTGTTATTTTTTGTTTTAAAATTAACTCCTCATGTTCTTCCTATTTGAACCTCCCAGAATATTTGAACGGCTAATCATGTTTCAATCCTCATGATCTTCTCCCCCGAGTTTACTGTGAGTATTCTTTCTTTCGCTGAAGCATGTCTGACTATTTTCCTCGAGATGTTTGGGACAACATTCTTCAGAGACTGCCAATAAAATCAATAGTAACATGCATGTCTGTTTGTAAATTCTGGAAATCTCTAATCACTGATCATGACTTCGCATCTTACCATCTCAAACGAACCCTTCAAGCCAATGACAGTGATGGGGGGTCTCTTCTTATTAAGCTA